CCCCCCCAGCTCCCCCAGCCGCTCCCCAGCAGCCTGGGGCTCCAGACCCCTCCCCAGCTCCGCTGCCCTTCTCTGGACACGCTCCAGCCCCCCCAGGTCCTTCGGGGAGGGAGGGGCCCAACCCTGACCCCAGCAGTCGAGGGGCGGCCCCCCCAGTGCCCAGCACAGGGGCACGGTCCCTGCCCTGCTCCTGCTGGCCACACCACTCCTGATACAAGCCAGGATGCCGCTGGCCCTCTTGGCCACCTGGGCACCCTGCTGGCTCATATTCAGCCACCTGGTAACCAACACCCCCAGGTCTTTTTTCCACCGGGCAGCTTTCCAGCCCCTCTGCCCCAAGCCTGTAGCGCTGCATGGGGTTGTTGTGACCAAAGTGCAGGGCCCGTCACTTGGCCTTGTTGAACCTCATACAGTTGGCCTCGGCCCATTGACCCATCCTGTCCAAGTCCCTTTACAGAACCCTCCTCCCCTCGAGCAGATCAACACTTCCACCCAGTTTGGGTCATCTGCAAACTGACTGAGGGTGCCCTGAATCCCCTCGTCCAGGTTGTTGATAAAGATATTAAACAAGACCTAATGTCATAGACGACAGTGGGCATAACCCAGGGATCAGTTCTGAACAAAGCCTTGTGTAGCCCAAGACTGACAAAAGCCAAGCATTACAGGTAGCCCAGTAGTCCCCAAATTTGCAGGTGGCGAGCAATGAAACGCAAAGGAAGCCCTCGCAGAGACCGCTCGTCCATTACGCAATCTGGCATTTTGAGTTCCCTCAAGTTACAGCCACGGCCAATGCACTCTGTACCCACAAGTGTTTGGAAAGCAACCAAATGCTGTCCCTTTATGCTCACCAACATACTTGTCGCTGACAGACATAGGAAGCAGGTCCACTTTGAGGCTTACCAAGCTGTCATTTCCTGGAAAGAACGCTCTCCCACAAACACTCGGTAATTGTGTGTGCCAGTTGGCCAGTTTGTCATTTTGGGGTTTCCACACGAAAAAGCAAATTTGGAAGAAATACAAACTAAGCAAAGTAAAACCCTTAAAGCAGCGGCAATTTTGGACCGTGAGAGATCGAGCAGTCATGCCCCCTGGGCACCGGACATGCTTATTTTTCTAGGAAGAATTACATCTATGAATTATGGTCACTACAACATTACAGATAAAATGAGAGCATAAAGAAGGAAGGAGAGACCATCTCAGCTTAGATCCAAAGCAAACCAATCCTCAGCCTTTGTTAGCAG